AATACTATGTATAATCCACCTTATCGTATCCTTTTTTTAACTCGCAGAGTGCGCGCCTCGTTGTGGCGCAAGATGCTCGAAGACAGCTTTCAAGAAGCCTTGTATGTTCTTCAGCCAGAAATGCTGTGCAAAGTGTTTGTGTGCCTCCAGGCACTTATGGAAACAAGCAGTTATGTCCTTGCTATAATAACTGGAAGACAAAGAGAGGTGGCCCCAAGTGTCCCTAAAAATAAGTAATTTTTTTTGCACTACTTATAATCAAATTAACTTCTTCAGTGACCAGTGTACTTATTTGTTCCTAATAGGGTTAGCTGCAAAATATGTTGCTTTCGTTGATTGTGAGTGTACTTATCTTTTATCAAGAGTGGGGGCTGGCCTATTCGATTAGGTTCCAAAGAGAATCGAACCGAACCGAGTACCAATGTAAATCTTGAAAATGGAATCATTGGTTGTTGGTTTGGTTCCGGTTCGATTATTTGTATTAAAAAATTTATAAAAATAAAGTATTAAACTACATGTCAAATAAAAAGTAGATAAAATAAATTTAAATCACTTATTGTAATCTAATAATATATAAATTAATGAAATAAGAAATCAAATATAAATACACTCCAAGGCTCAAGATCAATTACTAAGAGCGTGAAAATGAAAAATTATTAAACATAATATAAAGTGTAAAATATAGATAAAAAATTATTTTTTAACAAAAATCATACAATAATATATTAAAAATGTAGATAATATTTATAAACAAATTATCTTCAATAATCTTCAAAGAGGATATGTTGATTATGATGATCGATCACTTAAAAGCAACGATAAATTTGAGTTCTTACAAAAGATTAGACTAAAAATACACTTTTTTTTTTCTATTAGGGTCGCATTAAATCTATGAATTTTTGTAAAGTATTTATAAAATTATTGAGATTTAAATGTTGATTTCCCATTAAGTTTTACTATAAAAGAAAGAAAAATAAGTGTGAAAAGTGAAATTTTGATGTGAGATAATTTTAGGGTCTATTGTTCAAATATCTACTGTATATTTGTGTATATACCAATAAAAATAGAAACTATAGAGAATCGAATTCATTGTTGGTTCTTAAGTTAGTAAGAAGAATCGGATCGGAATTGATCAATTCTATATGCATGGTCCCAAAATCAATCCATTTAATAAAGGAATCAAAACCGAACCAATTGCAACAATCTGTTCTAGTTCGGTTTCATCGATTCTGGAAAAAAATGTCCACCTCTAATCTTTATCATAGTTCTATGGTGATTGAAGGCATCTTTTCCCTTTATGTTCTTATTTTATTTATCATTGTTTATTTTAATTATAATAAGTTTATAACCATATTTTTAATAATTAGAAAATGTTTAATTTTCGGTTCAATGAGAATCAAAAATGAAATATTGTTGAGCATTTAAATGCTAAGAATTGCAGATTCATGACTTGTTTGCTACCATTCACGTGTTGGCAATTATACCACAACTTTTTCAAAATTATAATACAACGATAGTTTAAATCTTCATTTGAAAATACTAGGAATGCGACGGCTGGTTTTTCGTTAAATGATAAATTTCACATTGATTATATACTGTAATATAAACTAATATATAAGAATTTAGACTAATACCCTTCTTAAAAATGTTGACATGTGTGTTTAATCGATATTATTGAGAAAAAATGTATTTTAAATAGTGATATGATGGAAATATGTGGTTAAAAAGTAAGGAAAAGTTATTGATGTAATGAAAAATATTATTTTATTGAAAAATGTGCGGTTGGAAATGAGTTTTGAAAGAATATGTACCAAACAGGGTTTCAAAGATAAAATCTCAAGTTTTAATATGATATAAGAGTTCATTAAATTTATTTAAACGAGTACTGAAGATTCGTGCCCATGCTTAAACGAGCCACCATTATGCCAGCACATATTAAGGGATAAATTCGCATAACGATAAAATACAGTAATAATAATAATAATAATAATAATAATAATAATAATAATAATAAGGTATGAACTACTTATCTTAACAAAATTGATATTTTAATATGGGACCTCAAATATTAATAATTTGAGTTTTATACAAATCAAATTGCTCATTTAAGATTCATACCCGAATACATCAACATTGCTACGAGGAACATCGCATAATTTTTTTACATTATTATCGCATAATATTTAAATGACTTGAAAATTTAACATAACGTTGCGTTCCCTTCGATTTTTCACTTCGTTCAACTAAAAATCTTGAAAATGAGCCCTCAAAACTTCATGTAAATTTGGTATGTAATCCTACTTAATTCTAATTACCGATGAATTCCAGTTTTGGAAAGAATGTGGCAATACTTTTAGTGACTTGAACAAATGCTACCCACCTCAAATATATGGAGCATAGAAAATGCTAATTTCAAAGATTTAAATATATGACATTACATTCAACCCTGTTTGGTAAAAATTAAAATTAAAATTTTTATCAAAATTAAAGTTAGCAATTAATTTTAACTACATATTTGATGAGACAATCAACTTTTTAACTATACATTTCATCCAAAAAAACTAAAAAATTGATTTTAATTCTCACCAAACAGGGCTCAAATTAGAACATAGTTATAATATAAAATTTTAGATAGTATCTTAATTCATATTTTAAAGGCCTAGAACACAAACAAATAATCATGGATAAGTGTTTTTATAAAATCACTAACTAGCTATTTTGGTGCTATTAGTGTCAAATTCTGAAACAACAATTACGAATGTAGAGAAAGTTGTATTTTGCAAAAAGAATTAGTCTAAATGTACCGAATGGAGGATACCGAATGATGTCCCCCCCTCTCACAATGCACGCGGCCCCATGTGTATTTAAAAATTTCGGCTTGTGGTCCCCACCTCCTAATGTGAGTGGGGTGTAAAAGATTCGGTATAAAAATTCGGTACATGTAGCATAACCCTTTCAAAAATAATGAGCTCATCAGCGTACAGAGTCTACTTTGGTTGGTTTGACGAGCCACATTTTCAACGCTAATATTTTTATGATTACCAAGAAGATATATTAAATAATTTTTAAATGAAATTATATTCTATAAACGTTTAAAATACATAAAGAGGAATTTAATTAAAAAATATATATTGTAGGGTAGGAAAAGGGACAGACGCCTCTGTTTGTAAGGGTCTCAACAATTCTTTTAAATGATTGACGTTTGAGATCGAATTGTGAGCATTTTTATCAAAGCTATTAGAGCTGATTTGGCTATTGACTCGGTTATACTGTCAAGGACTGCAGCTATACTTAGGAACTTAATCACTCATAGTCACAGTTTGTCCACTTTCAATCGCACTTTATAAATATTACTTTTAATTTTATTTCTATTTTAAAAGTTTATTTCAGCTGTAAAAGAATCTATTCAAATGTCTATTCATGTCACTTAAATTTTTTTTACTTAGCTATTATTAAGGGAAGCTGGTATTCGAAGTCTATTGTTAAGCTTTCTAATTTTCCTCTATGCACCAACAATTTTGATTTACTATTTTCATTAATCAATGAACAAACTATTTTTGATGCATTCAAATCTATTGATATAAATCTTTCTTTAATTTGTTGACAAAACAAATGGGGGAAATGTCAAGGATCGCAGTCATACCTAGCCTCTTGAGTCTTGACCCACTAACAGCCGCAATTTCCCCCAACTTCACTTGCATTTTGCAAAACTTAATTTAAGTTATAATAATACTAATGTCTACTAACGTCATTTAGGTTTTTAGTACCTAAGCGATAGATAGGCGATGGTATTCGAAAATCTTGTCAAGTTCAGTTGTGTTAGTCATCTACATCAGTAATTGTAATTTATTGTTTTCATCAATCAATCAATGAAAAAGCTATTCACTACATTCAAATTCTCTATTGGAAAACTTTCTTCAGATTTTCTTTTGTTCCAAAATTACTGAGAACGAGTGGAATGTAGTTTAGCTGTATAGACTATTGTTGCACGATGCCCTTTCTACGTGCTAGAAAAAAGGTGCCCATGAAACGTGAGCTTTAGCACCGAACTGTCCAAGCCCAGTTATTTTTTTCAAAAATTGGGTGCAGTCTTGGACATTAGCCCAGCGCAAAAAATAAATAAATAACAGGAGCTGTTATAGTTGAAAAAAGAACGTCTCTCCTTCCTCTTTCTAATTCTTGTTCTCTCTTGATTCTCTGCCACCATCTGCTTCTACTTTCAAGGAAATCAATTGTCTAAAACTACCAAATATTGCCACTGACATCTGTGGATATTGTTTATTTGCAAAGCCATTGCTTTATGACATTATAGATGATCGGAAAATGGACTATAATTGTGTGGTTTATTTCTTCCATCTCATCCACATACCTATGTTACATAAACCCTCTTCCTTTTTGCCAGGTTAGGATCTCTCTCTAAGTTCATCAAGTAAATTTTACTTCATTGTGAAATAAGTAACATTTTTAGTTAAAAGGGAAAAATGGCATAATCAAACATATTTGAAAGTAGAAATTTACTCAAAAGTTTCAATTTACTTCTAAGCTCAGCAAAAAGAAGAAAAAACCTATTTTTTGCAGGTCAAAAAACACATTCTTCATATTTGGAATTTGATCACAATAAGTCAATGAAGAAATACCATTGCATATGCCTAAATTGTTATGACTGGACAAAGATCATGCCTTGCTTTCCACTTAACCACAAATATATAATAATTTGACAATAGCGAGCAAGATTTAAACCATATGCCCTTTCAACAATCCTATTTAACTTTCCATAATCTGTCTCAAAATTACAAATGAAAATTTGATTTCAAACGAAGCCGTCTGGAAGACGATGGAAATATTAGGAACACATAAAAATATCCTTGGAGTGAAATTGTTAATTGCCCATCATTTCTAAGTCATATTATACATGAATCTTAGTCGAGTTGATGGCCTTGCATATACACAAATTGCTATGATATGACAAATAGGCGGAAAAACAGTTCCTTGAACAAAAATCGACCTTTAGTGATCTACTCGAGAAAGCTGTCATAACTTCCTGATACACAGGTTTCTTGAAATCCACTGCCTGCAATGAAAATGGATAAGGTTAAATCTTAAGTATTACAGGAAAAGACCAAAAAAGAGATTCTTCAATGTTAGAAGAGAAGACTGACAAGATTGATTATTTCTTCTGGTGACAGCCATGACCATTCTCCAAATTCAGGCTTCTCTGTCCCATCCCCCAAAAGATTGATTTCTTCATCTTTTCCAGTGAATTTAAAAAGAAACCTGAAGTTTTGCACACTTCAGAGTCAGATACATAAGCTGAGATACAGTCCAAACAGAAAAAAAAGCATCTTTTGATCCATAAAAGTATATTAGTTTAGAAACTAATAGGATTTTTTTGGGTTGGGGTATATGTCTGTGAGGGAGAGGATGTACAGGAGATATTTAAGTAATTAGTAATAATTAATCAAATCCAAAAACAAGAGAATATTCTAGTCCCCTCACAAGTGTTATGACTATGCTGCAGTTGGAAAACAGAACAGTAACTATATTAAAAAAACTCTTACCCTCTCCTATGATTTCATTTATATATTATTAGACTCCCTATTTTATAAAATCGATAAGCCTAACTCACTAGTCGCTGAATTCACTATTCAAGTTTGTTTGGATACTCTTTCAGATATCAATAACATTTGTTTACTCACGCTCTAGAAAGGGTATCATTTATCTTCCTCTCATCCTTTAGCATTTGCTTTCCCTAGAACTCTAGTAGGATAACATGTATGATGTATCTGTGTAGGGCAAATCCATCTGTAGTCATAAATATGTAGAAACCAACAGGAATTCCTATCTATCTGCAAAGATCAGAGGAGTTTTATCCCTCTCTCTCGATAAGTAGATTTATCTGGTTTAGTAGTAACAGCCAATGCAAGAACAGAGCATGATGTAATTGATGGTAGCGTGGCATAGCACCAGAAGCCACTACTAAAATTTTGTGCTTTATAGATAGCTTGAAAAATATCTAAAAGAAATCCTAATCTAAGAGAAAACGATAGCTTGTG